TCGGCCATCTAAAAAAGGACACCCTCTAGAACTGCGAGTTTTACACTTAAATTAAATTGGAGAATTGTCGATGATGAGATAACTGTTAGTTACTAACGGAGGCCTTCAAGTTGAATTCCTGTCACCGTTGCTTTTTTCTGTTTTATTTCGGTTATTATTTCCATTTTAAAAGAACACAATATTGCGGGGGTCAGACTGGGCAATGTAATACACATAATTTGATTGATATTTGTTGACTATATTGTCTTTTTACTGATTGTGGGAGTGAGGCTCAACGCATACTTTATTTTTTATCTGGATTCTTCCTTTTACCCGCAACTTCGTCCATGCGGGACTCTGTTTGAATATACCTTTCTTATGCGATGTAGAGTACTAGTACGGCTTTGTAATAAATGTCTCGTTTCTCAAATCTTTCTCTTCTTTAGTACACTTCTGTCTACACATGGTAAAATTTGTACCAATAATATGGGTGGAATTTCAAAAAAATCCTTTCTTAGCGGCTATCCATGTCATTATAGGAAATCACTGTCGAAATTTCAGCCCTTTAGATTCAGCGGTTTGGCCTGTGCGTTGTCAGTCACTCATGGAACTATTATATATATAAAGATTAAACGAAGCAAAAACAAAAGTGCAAGTATTTCGCAGTTCGCCTAAATACAAAACCTTAGAATCTATATTATGAAAATCAACTTGTCGCATATGTTAATGTTTTCACCTATCTTATGTTCCTTTCGGGGTATGGGAAAATTTTGGATGGCAAAAACAAAACTTTTGGTAGAGGAACTCGTGCGCTAGAAATCTGAATGGAAAGCGTAACTTCTTACTTACGAAAGTTCAATTGTTTGATTCAATAATACCTGCTTCTGTACTCTACCTGCGGAACTTCGGGCATTGAACTGTTGAAGGGTCTTGAAACATTGCAACCTGCTTCTTTAAGTAATTATTCGGAGATCGTGAGCGGTCTGATGTGATGTATGTTTCAGAAAAACATTTTCTTTATCGTACCAACGTTTCGATCTTTATCAAGATCATCCTCAGGACTCAAAGTGTTTGTTTTCTGCGTAGTTGTCATTACTAAAGCGCACTCTCTACACGACACACAGTAATTACACATCTACACAGAAAACAAACACTTTTAACGTTTAAGCTTGCCTTCGATCTTCTGGAAGGCCCCCGTACGCAACACTTTCGTAATCAAACTGTGGAAGAATAAGGGAGAAAACAAGGAGTTTACCGCACTAAAAGGCGAAGGTGGCTGGCACGATAAAATGGATGGATGGTGGAAAAGAAGGGTCAGGAAATCTGAGATTTATCGGGTTTCTAGGAAAGAAATAGGGTAATTGTTAATTGTAAAAGGAGGGATAAGGATGGAAGAGAGAACTCTATCCAAAAACAACAGCTTAGGACTTTTCTACCTTCAAGCTCATTTTCAATGGTCCAGGAGCTGACCTGGAAACGAAGATAAATTTGGGAGTCAGTTTAAAAACCTTGTAAATTTATTGCTTTGAATTTTCCACATTTTATAAATTTATTGCGTCATATTTGAATATTTCAAATCAATGTTGCAACACAATTGCATATTTTTAAACATTTCTTGAATATTGAAATTTTACTTTTTATGTTGTTTTATCAGAAAAATTAGGTTCATTTTTCTCAATTTTTTGTAAAACTTCAAAAATAATTAAAGCCAACATGAATGCAAAAAGAAAAATTCACAATGCCACTTGTTTCATGCCGAAACTTGTAAGGTTTCTTCCGGAAAAAGAAATAAAACTCCTATAGGAGTCCCGGTCCAATTATACTCTTTCACCTTTCTCGCCCTTTTTATCTCACTGGATCTCACACGAAAAGGTATTGGCGAAAGGCCCATTGTCAAACGGCATCATCTCCACGGAAACCACCCGGCTTTATGGTTTGTAACATGATAATTATGTTCCCAAGCCTAAGATGAGATGGATGAGTTATATGATTATTTATACGTGAATAAATATCAGAAACCATCACAGTAACTTTTAACTTTAACAATATGTTTAAGCCTATCTCTTCCTACCTCTCACAAAGATTTATTAGGGTAAAGAATAGCGATTCCACCTCATCCTACAGACAGATATCGCAGGGGCTACCTCAAGGATCCATACTCAGTCTCGTTCTATTTAACTTGTTGATAGATGATAATATAGCTGCAATTCAAAGTATCCTTGGTATACTGGCTTTGTTTTGCGGATGTCTTAGTCATCTGGGCCAAAAGTAGTGAGATAAGTGGTCTAAAACCAGCTCTTAATGGAGCACTAGAAAAACTTTTATCGTGGGCGAACAAAAATGAGTTCTTGTTAACACCGATAATTTCAACTTTTTAGTCTTTCTACCAAGAGGCGCGGCCCATTCTCTATATTATGCTTCCAAGCCATTACGAGAAACAAACAGTGCTACGTACCTGGGGATACATCTCGACACAAAACTTCAATGGACAAAGCATGCTAAGTAGCTAGTAAAGAACGGAGAAAAGAGAATATGTCTACTAAAAAGATTAGCGGGGACGAAATGGGGATCTTTAGGAAATATTCTGTCTCAAGCCTATACCATGTATGTACGACCTGTAATGGAGAACGGAAACGAGCCACAGTCCCCAAAACTACTGAAGGTTAGACAAAACTCAAAATGAGGCTTTGAGGTTGATAACAGGAGGCAGCAGAGGTGCACTCCAATCAATGCCATTGAGCTAAAAACTGGCATAGATCCTCTTGCGATTAAAAGGGACCTAGAAGTTGGTGCTTTGATCAGAGAGTGAAGCGCCTAGCAACGGACTACTTAAACGAGCCTGCAAATTAACGTCTGAAAACTAAGTATAGCTAAATCATACCTTGGCAATCAAAGGTTGGCTTAGTCGAAGAACAAAATATTGGAAAACAAAAGGATTGCGCTTGAATGAAAAGCTAGATGGGCCATGCATGTTAAAACTCTGATAAATAAGGCACCGAACGCACTGCCTCAGACATTTTCTAGACGACAGGGCATTTCCAACACTTGCAACTAAATGACAGCTGTATCTATCACTCGCTCGCCCCATTTGACTTCTTAAGTATCTTAAGCAACTTTATAGCTAGACAATTGACACCATCGTAATTGGTGACGTTAAAGGCAGATCAAGAAATTAAACCAACAGACGGGAAATTAAGTCCCATTTGACTGAGTCCATTTTAGGGCTCAGCAGCTCCATCTCACCTGCCGAGGGTAATCTATAACTATCTTAATCAAAGCGGCTATGAGACGCTTCAATGTTAAACCACTGCAACACCCCCATGAGAAAAGCAGATGGAACTTCACCCGCAATGTTTAAACGAAAACTCCCCCAACACACACTGGAGACATAATCCCAAAAGGAGAAGTATTCGGTTTGTAATTACTACTATAAATATTGCTATTTAAACTGCTGGTTTAAAAATATATATGCACGTGGATGTACTTCTAGTCAAGGGAAGTCATTGGGTTTGTATCTTCACACAAATACCATGTTAATTATGTCATTACTTACCTTACTATAATATCGTTACCATTATTGATCCGTTAGGTGTTTCTGCATCAAAAATTATCTGACGAGTTGAAAATACAATATAATTTTAAACACTTAAATAAATTTTAAATGTAAAAATCAAATTTGACTTACCTTAGATTACCACGGTATGATTTAGCTATACTTTGTGTTATATCTATCGAACCGACATTACTATAGGCAATTAATCATCTACGGTGTATAAACTTTCATTGAATCGTACATGGCAACAGAGGGTACAGGTGGATCAGGGATGATTAATTTTCTTGACATCTCTCTAATATTCTCGACAATAGAAGACCACTCACAGTCCAACAGTAGGATTTTTCGTTCTTCAGGCGTATACGTGTGTTAAGAAGTGTAGCAGCATTTTTTAAATAGAAAAGTGTTGCGATTAATGGTTCATTGACTTTGATGATGAACAGCGGATGCTGATTTACGTGTTTGGCTTATGTCCAACTGTGCGTCGTGCTATCTACCGCGTATCCCTTTTTTTACACTTTATTTTATATTCTAATATTCTCTGGACTTGACACTGGTTCCTCACGACTGTGAAGACAAATTTCGGGCATCTTTATAACTAGACACTTGACACCATTGTAATTGGTGACGTTAAAGGCAGATCAAGAAATTTAACCGACAGACGTGAAATTAAGTCTTAACAGTGACTAATGGACATGAACTTCGAGGGGAGACGTCTATTTCAAATAACCAAACACCCGTATGACGTTAACTTATATTTTTTGTTGCGTTAGGAACTTTAAATTGTGTTTACGAGAGTTTAATGTAAATTAGCAAACTATATGGAGATAAATGGCAATTTGATTGCAGAAAGTACTCAGAACAAAAAAGATTTTTTTGGACTTTTTAAACTTGCGTTCGAGTCCCGCTCTAACGTTAATTTTTCATTTTAACCATATTTTACATAAAAATTATATATCAATATAATTTTTTTTAATTTTCATTCTTATCAAGCAAGACCTTAGATAACAAGTATAACGATACAATAAGTATAATAATATATTAATATATAAAGTATAATAATAATTTAAATTATTTTTTTAACCTTCTTTACTACATCACTCGATCGCAACATAATTATGAATCTGCGGTATTTCTGGAATTTCTTTGCCTGCAGATTGATTATTTTCGTGGTTTTGTAAAATAGTTTAAAATATTTTTCTCTTTCTCATCTGTTTACGTTTGTATTTTCTACCCTAACCACTTGTTAAGGCGTCGGAAGCCGCAACAGTTAAGACGTTGACGGAGACTCATCACTGTAAGGGTCCCCCAGAAGTATAGGGGTTATGAGGCGTAATTAAAATACCCCCTTAAAAAATAAACATATTTTTAATTAAAAAATTTAAATAACGGATAAAAAGCTCTCCTGTATGACAAGAATTACTTTACGTTATACTTCAAGTTGTATGCTCAACATGAAAGGCAACTATGTAGTTTCAAAAAATCTTTTATTTCAAAATAAATTCCAGCATATGTTTCAGTTAGTATATGAATGAAATAAAAAAAAATATTTTTCAACAAAAATTTGTCCAAACCGATTAGGACAAACAGCACTAGTTTGATGTTTAGAAAAGCAAAACCTTATTGACCTAGAGTTGGCAGCTACATGGCGCCTTATTTTTTCAGAGCCCCCTTGGACCTCGATTTACACTCTGATGAACTTCTCTGTACACAAAGCTCACTTCCTGGGTCTTTTACTATTTCCCTCAGCATGGTGATAAAGGACGCTCCGTGAGATGAGTCTCTCTTTTCCAGCATAAATTTTTCCGATTTTTCAAACAATTTGATGAGCTGCCGCTGATTTTCTTCTACAGTAGATACATCAAAACCTCTTAGGGGACAAGTATCAGGTTGAGTCTTTAACTTTTCTCTGTATTCGGCAACCATGGATTCCAGTTCCTCGTGTTTCCTCGGTTTCAACCCCCTGGGGTAAGTTAAAGTCTGAACTCTTCTAAACGTATCGGGCTTATTGTGTGTTTGAACTTGATGTAACGTATGTGCTTGTTTATCCTTAAGCCCTGCAATAAGTCTTTTCCTCTCACGCAGTTCTTTTTGTTCTTCTGTTAACTCCTGTTCGCTGGCTAACAACGACAATCTTGAAACACTTTGCCGTTGCTCTAGGACATTGCTTCTTAGTTTTTCTTCAAATTCAATGGCTTCTGTGGTAGGCAGAACGTCTAATATACATTTCTCTCCAGTTGCAAGGACACCTGTCAACGTATGAGTCTCGTTACTAGACCCGGCACTCAATTGCGACAACTTTGATTTTCTTCTTAGCACTCTCGATGTGTTTCTGTCTGATTTACCAACGATCTCAACTTGTTCTTTTCCAGCTTCGTTTTGAGGACTTTCTTCTTTAGCCGATTCTGGAGTTTCATCTTGTGATCTTCTCAACCTGTACATGAGCCGTTGCAACTGCTGTTGCTGTATTCTTAAACACGGTCCTAATCTTTTGTGAAGAATCATCATGTCCATTATCATCTGTTTTTCCGGTTCTATATGTAAATCTTGATATTGGGCAAGTAAGTGATGGTGGTTTTCTATCAGTTTAATGAACTTTTGTTGATGTCGTAAGACCTGTTGTGCCGTCTCTTGCATTTTTTCCGTGTAATATTTTTGTTTTTCTTTGAGGAATTCGTTCAATGCGGTAGTTTCACTTTTAAGGATAGATAACAATTCTTTTAACTCGTGGTCAAGTTCATCTTTTATGCTGTGCACTTCTTCGCTTGATTCGCTTTTGTTTTTGTTCGTTTTAATTGGGTCTGTAAAAGTTTTGAAGAAATGTTGGAGGTCACGTTTCAACTGATTTAACTGTGTCTTTTGCCTTCTGAGTTGTTCTTCTGTCAATGCCAATTGATTCGGTGAAAGAATTTTAACTATTTTTTCGTGGCTTGATACAAGTTCTTCCTGTTGGGCAATGGCCAGTTTTAGATGATCGTCTTGAATCGTATGTGATTGTTGAAAAATCGGTTCTAAATCTTCTATTTCAATCATAATTCTTTGAGAATAACCTTTCTCAAAACTTTTTTCCATCAAAATTGTTTCTAATTTTCCTATACCACTCATCCACTTTTGAGTAGAGGCCAGTTCGTCTATATGAGATTGTTGGATGTCCAGAGGTCCTAATTCTTCACTTTGATCATCCTCGATATCTTCTGTTTCTTTTAGCATGAGTAATAATAGTTTCTCTTGCTGTTTACGTAATTGTATTTCTTGTTCAATTGGTTGATGAGCAGTTACATTTTGAGCTTTTTTCAGAGCTTGTAATAGGTTCTGTTGGTGTTCAACGTGGTTCGTTTGCATAGCTTGATTTTCAAATAGCAATTTCTGCAGAGGATGCAATTCTTTTTTATTGCCTTTAGCAAGCTTGCCTTTTAATAAAGACTTTCCTAAATTATCAATCGGTTCATCTTTCTTTTGGCGTTTTTTCCAGTATGAAATTTGAAATAGGTTTATGTCCTCCTGTAGATCTGCTAGATATGAATTTCGCATTTTTTGTTTATCGCATAATTTAAGAGCTTTTTTCGTTATTTCTTGGCAATCTTGCAAAATCTGGATGACATTTTCACGGAATATATTTGGAGATCCTATTACTTGCACTTTTTGTGCACTCACTAACTCGTGAAGGTGTTCAAGTATTGAGCGCAATGATTGTTCTTGATTGAACTGTTGTTGGAGGCGTTGTTGTTGTTGCAATATTACATCTTGTATTTTTCTAAAATTCAATTCGTGTTCTGGAACTTTAGGTAATACAGCATAGGGTAACTCCTGGTGAATCATCTGCTGTTGGAGTTTCATAATCTTTTCTTGCAAAACAGCGACTTGGTTTATCATATTTAACAGTTCTTCTGATTTTTCAGTCACTTTTGATGTCGGTTCTTCAATTTGTTCACCAATCGCAATCAATTCTTTCTCTATCGATGTGTTGATGATACCAATCAACTCTTTGTTTTCATCAATAAATTTTCCTAATTTTGCAATTTGAGCAGATTGGTGCTGAATTAAATTAGTATGGACGATTTGTTTGGGCAAATTTTGTTGTTCAATTTTGATTGTGTGTTCAATTTCTTTGCGAATGGATTTTTGTATACGATCGAGATTGTGCAATTCTTGACTTTGGAGTGCTAACAATTGTTCAACTTGTTTTTCATGGAGTTGTTGTAACTGTTGCTGGGTCCTTTTTATAATTTGTTCTGGAGGTTCTTTAATACTAGTAACTTTTCTATTTTCCAATATAGCTAATGCATCATCAAACGCTTGTTGCTGTTGCTCTTGGATTTCATCAATTATTTCCAAATATTGATCTTGGTGTTCCATACGCAGTTGCTCATGCTGTCCATGTGCAAGCATCATATTCTGCAAATTAGCCTGCTGTCTAGCTCCTTCAGTTTGGAGCCTTTGAATACGTTCATGCTTGTGCAAATTTTGTTGCGTCAAAAGTTCATGATGTTGTGTTTGTTGCAATGATTTGACTTGTTTTTTCTGAACTGTTTGCATTTGTCCCAATTGGGTTTGTAATACTTGAGCATCAAATGTTGAATGTGCTTCACTTGGTATACCCCCTTCAGTCAACGAAGCGAGGTAAGTTTGATACTCTTTTATTTGCAATTCAAAATCCCCAAGCAAAATTTGTACATCCTGTTGTTGGGTTTTTTGTAGTTTTTCTATTTGTGCTTGTTGCTCAGCCAAAAGAGCCAATTGATCATTGTGGTGTTGTTTCAGTATTTGAAGCTCCATTTGTGCATATTGATTTTGTTCAAGCATTTTTGGGTTCATATTTGTCCAGCTCGGATCGTCCAACTTTTTAGTTACAGTTTCTGTACTGGGAGTTTGAGAATCTGCTATTGGTCTTGGATCCCCGCCCTCTGTGTATATTTCAGGGGCGAGTACACCCAGCAGTGTTCTTAGTTTAGCAATTTCATCTCTAATTTCCCACTCCTTCCATAACAAGCGGTACCATTTTCTTTTTGCTTTGTGTAATTCTCGCTGATCTTTTTTACGAGCTTTCACTAAACTTTTAAGGAAACTGGAAAATGAAAAATAAACTTAAAACAATTTGTATCTCAGCTTACTAAGTGTCAAATGAATGGTACTAAGTCGCTTTACCCTACTGGATCATCTGTACGATTGTACGGATCATAAAAATATCTATATATGTTTGTGACAACTTTGGTGATTCCAATCACATCAAAGTAATCAGACAATTCCTCAGCTAGATCTTCCACCATCTAAAAAGGAGGAATTGTTATGTATCATTCATTTTCTCTTTTTCATTAGTTCCACTTACAGGAAACTTGCACCCAGCACGATGCTGTCTCAACATCTCTAGTCGCTGCTTCTTTGATTTTGTCTTTTTGTCCCCCATTGTTATGAAGTGGAATACAACGCCACTTGAGAAAATCGACCGGCACCTTTTGAATTAACAATTTGAATCACAAGTACAATAGAATTTTGTTGACATTTTATTTTAGATATAACATTTTATCTATGCCATCTGTAAGCTATAAAATTAAAAGCTGATGTATTTAATTTAATTTTTTGATTGGCATTAGCCTAAATGGCTATAGCAAAAAAAGAACTTAAAATGCTAATTTTATATTAGTGTTTCTTTTTAGAAAACTACCCACAACAAAAACAATAGTATAAATACATATTTTATAAAGTTTTATGTGCAATGTTGAGGTGGTATTACCTGGTGTGCCCTTGACTTGGCCTTTTTCGCCCGCCTGGTGTAGTCCGGCACATTCCAAAATGATCGAGGCAAAACATGATCCTTTCATTGAGATTGAATGCCTTAAACAATTTGTTAATATCCATTCTGACATAGATTTATATTCATTCCATAAAATATATATTATGTTAAAAATTGCCCATCGGTGATTGTTCGCATTGTGTTGTCTTTCGTGTTCTTATTGCCCCAGTGTTGCTCAGACAAGCTGGAATCTGCGAAGTACCAAGGTACCAATGCACCTTGTCCGCCCTTAGCTGTTATGACTTGTCCACCAATCCACCGATTTGTGGGTGATCATGGTCTAACAACCGTTGTATATAACCGTAGAGACATCTTTGGGTTTAGTCCCCAACTTTTCCCACAGAGGCGTTTACATCTACCAATGGTAATTTTCACTCTCTGTGTTATTTAATTAGTCCTTAATTCCAAGAAAGAGATTTGTCAAAGATGACTCGCAGTTATTTCTCGTGTTTGGAGAAAATAATTAAAACTCCATCTGAGGGTCAGCCCAAGGTCTCCCGGTGAAAAAATCTTCATGGATGAAATACCTCAGTAGTTACTGATATTATTTACATCACCCTATTTGCGCCAAAAACATGATGTTTCAAAAGAGGTTATTTAGAGATTGAGAGATGTGGTCTGGTGCTACATCTGACGATTTATAAATAATCATTAATTAACGGTCACTAAATACCACACATTTCAGATCAATTAAAAAGCCATGGGCTGTGCTGAGATTCGAACCCAGAAACACTAATGTTGGCAAATAGGAGTCGGACATCCTAACCTCTCGGCCACAACAGTCCCTTAAGAAGGTGTACATATAAATAAAAGGCACATTATTGGATTTTTTCTATATTTATTTTTAAAAAATTCTTGACAAGCACAATTTAACATGTCAGATCTTACCCCATAAGGAAGAAATAAAAATAAAAATAAAATCAAATTCAATCACTTTAATATCCTTAAATGAGGCTATACCATTAAAAGCGCACATTTCATCATATCATTTTATAATTTAATCGTTATCGAAATAAAGATAATAATAAGTAATAAAACAACTGCACACACAACATATAACTCACAAATATGGGAAAAAATGCTGATTTTAAATAATTGGTATATCAAATCAAATTCATAACAATTTTATTTTTCCTAAAGACATAAAAGATTAAAATTAATAAAACAATTTTTTTTCTTCGAAAGACTGTTATTTTGTGCTAGACGGTGGTGGCATTGATACTCTATCAATTTTGTCTATAAAATGAAGGAGGCATTCCTTAGTAATAGGGTTTTTGATTGATTCTAAAACAGCTTAAACAAAAAACAAGAAAAGTACTTTATAATACATTTAATTATTTAATTAATTATTAAATGATAATATAACATACCACTAGCTGTGCTTAAACTATTAGGAAATGATTTATCTTTCCTTTCTCTCATAAAAACCCATCCACCATTTTGATAGGAACATTCTATTATCTTGTTGTCATATTGGGCCATATCTTTTGTGTACGGCATAGTACCAAAATAAGGGATCAATTGAGAAACATATAAATTACACATTCGTCTTGGGATAATGCTGTAAATATAGTAGAACCTCTTTTAAAATTATAACATCAATTATATACAATGACTGAAAATGATAAGTAGTTTTATAATGATTTATACCATAAAAACACATTCTTACCCCTGTCCTTTTTCTGTTTCGACTTTCATCAAAAAATCAATTGAATTCATAGAAGGTGGCTTCCATTTTAACACCTTTTCATAGGCCCCAGGTATATACGGCTGAAATAAAGCAAATTATATGTGGTTATACGGTTATGGTTCTATGAAGCAATGGTGATGTGAAGAAGACAACTCACATCATATGCAGGTTGAAAAATGAGTCCATCAGGCTCATGCGATAATTGCTTACTAAATTTTTCACTAAAATAACTTTTAGTCTTCTCAATTGGGTAGAAATCTTTTATTCTAACACTAAAAGGCTCAGCTGCTTTGTCCAATTTACCTTCGCAGATTGCTTTGATTCGAGGTTTAATGATGAATGTCTGAAACAAAATAACAATCAAACATGCTGTACATGCATATAAAAAGGTTTGTTTGAAATATTTGTAGTTATTTCAGCTTTAATTTTCACCCAGCATTTACAACCACCAAATTTTCTAGTGTTTATTTAACATGAAAACTGAACATAAAAAATAATAAAGTTATTTTTTTAATAACGTATAAGTGATCAAATATATTAATAAGAGAAATACTTTAAACAATTACTTTAATTTTGTAGAGCCTGTTAGGATAAAAAAGTTCTTGCTTTACATCTTCTCCATTTAGGTACAGAATATCATAAACCAGGTACCTAGGTATTTTTGCTCCATTGTATTCATCTATTACCATTTCCTGAAAATTGAGCATTAATTACAGTTTTTACAAACACAAAAAGAATAAATGTTAACTTACACCGTCCAATAGAGTGTCAGATAAGTGGGTCCCTAAATCATCACTAGACACAAACTTTAGCCCTGACACTTTGAAAAAATTATTATTTCTATCCAGGAAATATACTTCATTTTCCCCTTTGATCAGCATCATGTATCTTCAAAAAACAATTGAAGTTTAGAAACGAGAGCATTGATTTGCTTATTGATTACTTATTACCTTGTACCATCTGCTTTCCATGATACCACATATTTGTGAGACATGAGATACTTTATATTTGGACGAGTCATTGAAACAGGTTGACAACCTGGAAAACTCTTTCTGAAATCGGGCAAAATATATTAAGCAACACTGTGTAATATCCTATGAAAATGAATTTATATATTAATGGCTTGTAAAATAAGTCCTTGACTTTTTCAATAATTCAATTTGATCCCTCTTTTGTTTGTTTAGTCATTAATATTTTACACAATCTAAAAAGGGATTAGTTAATGAGGTTTTGTCAGTTTGCTAATTTAAAATGGGTGTTAAGGGACCGGAGTAGCTAAGTGGTTAGTATGTTGATGATTCCCACTGTCGCTCCTGGAATTTCCTTTCATGCTTCCCTTCCTCATAAAATATCCATCAATAAGCAACCAACATTAACCAATTCTCTGGCTAATATGAAAAACATAAGGCTAAAATGAAGTAATTTTCTTTGAAAATTTAATTGAATTAATTTTGAATGAATTACTCATTTTGTAGATAAAAGATGCTCGGTCAATTTAGACCCGCTGATCGCTGTCCACAATATAATTTGTTTTTCCAGTACAATTTTTTTTTGGTTGTTTTCAAATACAATTGTTATAAGAAAAATACTTAGCACTATTACTCGCAATGTATCCATCATTCGTCTTATCCTGGTTTTTCCGTTTACATCAAAGCTCTCACTTTTCAGTTTGTATCCAGTTTCTGTGTAAAAGTGAGTAAAGTGAATGTTAACTCTGTTTTTACTTGTGGGATATTTTGAAAGTGTTTTGGAGGCAAAAAGAAGAACAAAATTTTTTTTCTTGGAGGTCAATATTGTCGTTGCTCCCATAACGACAATATACATGTAAACAACCATGCAATAAATGAGATAAATAAAGATAAATGTAGGCAATTTGTATGTGGTAAACATTAGGTAGCAACCAAAAAATGAAAATGCCTAAGTTGTGTAGAAAAAAAAATGTTCTATGTTACTTTTTACAGATGAGTATTAAAAGAATGGAGGAAAAATAGTGCTTTTTTTAGTTATTTAAAGTATTTTTATTGCAGCAAAGGGAAAACTCAGTCAGACTGATAGGAAAATTTGTAGTATGAATGGTGATGACACTAGGAGAAAGCACTGTCTGTATGTAGTTTGCTTTCTGAAGCAAACATTTTTATTTAGAAGACGCAAAACACTCTAGTTCTCCTCCAACCCATATTGGTGATCAAATTCAAGTTTTTGTCACAAATAACCCATGCTCAATGACACAAGACATCACACACATAATCTACAGGCATTAATTGTTGGAGTGTGATAAATTGTTGGAGATTTGCTAGGATGTGCTACTCCACCCAGCTTACCCCTTCAGACTTGCACTTATTCGGCTTTTTAGAACTCTATTAATGGAGAAAACTTTCTTTCACTCGAGGACTACAAAATTACATCAAGGAGTTCATCACTCCAAAACCTTAGAACTTCTGGGAGGATAAAATTACAAAATTACATGGAAGATGGCACTAGATAGTGGAAATAGTTTGTATATTGTTGTTTAAATTTATTTATAAGGACCTGAAATTTGCATTGAAACAACCATCAAAAGCATTAAAGACTTATTTTACAGCCAAATACATATATTTAGATGTGCATACAGCTAACATGAATGCCACCTACTTTGTCCAACCAGCCATTTTATTACATATTGCCCTCAACTTTTGAACCAAATATTTCTTAGTTACTGGTTCCACTCCAGAAATACCTTCCATAAATGTGGGTATTTCTTTCTTTTTCTTAAATTTGGACTTTTTGTCATCTCTGTAAATAAAGGAAAAGTCTGAATTAAAATTTAACATAATACATAGTAATTTCAATGTAATTTACTTTGGTGTGTTGTCTGCACTTTTAAACCTCTTTCTTGGTACATCATTATTGTCATTAACCTCGTCTCTTCTATTACTGTTATCTCTCTCTTCTTTGTCTTCAACATCACTATCATCATCGTCGTCATCATCATCGTCTTCCTCTTCATCGTTCCTACTGGAGGAACTTTGTCCATTATTTCCACTTTCTTTATTTCCACTTTCTAAATCAAAATTATTCAGCTGTACATATTGAATAGAAAATATACAAACAATTATTCTTTAACAAACAATCATTATATCTGTTCAAAACAAAATAAACATAGTAAATTAGTTTCATATTAAAACAATCAGTAATTTTTCCTCATTTCAATTTAACATTTGTATTTGAACTGTATTACCAAAACACCAAGAAGGCTTCAAAGGTGGATTCGGAGCATCATCTATGCTTCCGTACCTACTGTATAGTTCAATTATATAATCCCCTTTGTAAATTCCTGGAGGCCTGAAGTAAAACATAAATATATCACAAATTAACTTTGTTTGAAAAATACACGATTAGCTGCATTAAATAATACCTTGCTCTAGCGAATTCCTGTAGTGCTGCACACGGACCCCAATCATTCACTGCTATCAGGTATGATGCTATTAAAAATCCAGTCCTGTTAAACCCATGTGTGCAGTGAATTCCTAAAATTATAGGTTGCTTTAAAGAAAATATTTAAAAAGATTTTCTTATCAACACTTAAACATTAAGTACAGCTACCTATAATATCGAGTGGGTTTTGCTGAATGAAGCGTTGGCAAATGGTAATGAAATGGTTTGTTTGTTCTGGTGTTGGAGTTTCATCCCTTCCTCTGCACTCTATTTTTTCATAAATTATTTTTTTACCATCGTTATATCCATTGGTGACTTTATTCATGTCATAATATCTTGAAGTGTTAGTCAGATCAATCCAAAGTCCGATTCGCTTCTAAAAATTTATACTGTCAAAAAACCAAAAAGAAATACAATAATAATTTTTTTTCACCTTCCAATTGCTTGTGGACATGATTAGCATTTCTGGGGTGAATCTTGCTGACTCAGGTACTTGTCCATCATATTTGGAGTCAAGAGGAGTTTTAAATGCAAAAAAATAGTCACCTATAATGTGGCTAGCTTTCCTTGGACAATTGAGCCACCGATTCGGTATAAGTCCTGGATTACTCATTTCACCTGATTTCTGAATACTGCAATCATTTACAGACAACTTGTTTTATTGTTTAAAAAGCTACCGATTCAAGCTTCTAGTTCTGGTTAGGGATTGGTTAGGAAAGTCCGGGCGGTGTTTTACTTATTGTTGTTTTAATATCGTTAATCAACATTTATGTTTACATAAAAGGATTAATTCACTGTTTATCAATTTATGAGGAACCCATTTGCTCAGCTTCCATTTCTTCCCAAGTCGATATAAGCTAGAGAAAATGGTTTTATCACTTACATTGAACAGTCTGGTGAGCTCCTGACCTCTTTGAAACTAAGGAAGTTCGATAAAATTCCTCAATTTATTGTGTTTTATACTTTTAGATAGCTAAGCAGCTCTAAAGGCTCTCCAAACCTAAAAGTTCAATTCAAAACTTGCCTGGAATGGCCTAACGCTAAAGTGGGTATCATGAAGGAATTAAAAACTCTAACTGGAATATTTACCACTTTAAAAAAATAGGATTATCAAAAGATAACTAATCTCAATTTTGTCCAGAAGAGTCAGAGACCCTACAAAACTGCCCTGCTATAGTTAGGAAAAGGCTACAGAACCTGGGAAAACCATTCTTGAGCTATATAAATCTTGATACCATACTCTAAGAATAATTTTGTATTGCATAAAAGAAATGAAATTCTTCTAAATTGAGAATTTTTTAATCTTTCTTATTAAACAAACCCCCACTGACTATAATAAAATAAAAATTGTATATTAAAATTAATGACAAACTCATTGTAAGGTCAAAAAAGCTGTTGGCTTAAGCTTCAAGAAAACTTGCTACTCCTGTCCGTCCCTAAAGGGAGAAAAGAAGAGAGTGAAAACTATTTGATATACTATGGCAAAAAAAAAACCCCTTAAGAAATGCCAGAGCACCACAGTTTAAAAACTAACACAAACAGAACACCTCTTCCTACCACCTAGTAGGAGCTCTGGAAGAAAAACAATACCTCTGAGCCATTTGTATGACCCCTTTCAGCCCATATTGAACAATTTCTCCGCTACTCTCTCATATGTATAATTTGGATAATCCTAAGTAGACATCTCCATCTACAAGTTCAATTCATCCTTTTTTCTTACAGGTGTTGCAGTTGAGGGTCAAACCACAATGTGGGTCTTTTTGTTATACATCCAGACATCTTAAACTGTTAAAGCTATTTTTATTTTATGTAATTTGATATTCCTGGACTTTTGCACTAGAAGTTGAACTTTAGATGTAGTTGCCATGAGCCATGAGGTCAATGTTGCTGAGTGACACATACATGAGTTTGACTTTCAGTTCTGTTGGCAATCATTCAGCTTGTAAATAAAAAAAATAGCAAGGAAAAGGCCTTTGATCTCTTTTATAAGGTATTTTGCATAATACGCGTTAATGGATACGAAATGACTTAGTTAAGTGAATCACACGACAGGTGGAGGTGCAATATCAAAGAATGTATAGTAGCCACAGGAAGAAAACGTACATGGTTAGAAGGGAGCAAATTATCGATCGATAGATTATTTTATTACATATCCATGGGCAAAACAATAAACAACTACAAATTACTGTGCTGATGAACTTAACATGAGCACAAGCCATTACACATTACTAGAAAAACTTCTTACAAGAAGTATGTACATATTCTCTTCCTTTATTTCTTTCTTAAATTTCATAAACATTGTTGTACCTATCAAAACAGTCGAAATTGATGAATCATGTTTTTCTAAATGAAAGAACCACGTATTCATAACAATGGGTTTTGGGGGTATATGTTATGGAGATAAACATAATTTCATGTACTTTGCATTTAACTGAACAATGATAATTATTCAGAGAACGTGAGTTGTGGTCTGGTGTGATGTAGGTATCAGAAAAACATTTTCTTTATTGTGCCAACGTTTCGATCTTTATTGAGATCATCTTCAGGGCCTGGGATTTACAAACATTGTTTACATTTAACAAATACATTTAGGACGTGGAAAAGTGAATTTACATAATGCAAAATATATTTTTTATATTCAATCAAAGTATTTCTTCTCACTCAAAGTGTTTATCTTCTGTGTAATTGTGCCATTGCATGTCGTGTTGAGAGTGCCAGTGAGATTTTGCTGTTTTATGTTTATATACATTGGATTTTGAAGGGGTGGGGAAGGAAGTTGGTATACAAGACATTTTTGTATAAGGCATGTTTGTAAATCCAGGCCCTGAAGATGATCTCAATAAAGATCGAAACGTTGGCACGATAAAGAAAATATTTTTCTGATACCTACATCACACCAGACTGCATCTCACGATCTCTGAATAATTATCGATTAACGGTCACTAACCACCACACATTGGCAATGATTTTAAGTGTAATTAAATTTTGGGGATGGTTAGTGATGATTGAGGATATCGAATTTTAAAAGACATTGTTATTTTCATTTTAAGCTATGTGGTCATATAACAGAAAACACATCTCATTGCAATACTTTTTCTCACCCCATTCTGATTAAAATTCCATGGACTGGCCAGGATTGAAACCCAGAACTGGCATGGCAAATCTCTAACCAGTGAGCTACCGCAGGTCCTGTCTCGAATGACAGTACCATGGCTTTTTGAGAAATAGAGAATTATCATAGAAAAGCATGTTTCACTTCGTGTAAACTTAAGAGATTTCTTGCCATTAAGTTGAACAGCAGTTTAACTTCATCATTGTACAGCATTTTGAGCATAAGCATGGATTTTGTTTTCAATGGGAAAACATGAGGCATTCTTCTAGTGACAAACGTTGATATAGTACCAATATAATATATTAATGACAAAATCCAGCAATTGAATTTCTGCCATATCGTCATTTATTTGACGCATTTATTTTATTATTTTTAATTAACGCCTATTACACCGCATTCAGCAGAATGTACATTTTTCTTCACCGCTCTCTTTAAACGAATAGAACATAACGGACATAATTATATTCCATGTCGGACCGTAAATAGTATGGTAATTTGAAACGTCGTAGTTTAAGAAAATAACTGAAACTAAATACCTGCAATCTCTTTATTTCTGGAAAAACTGCTAAGGCGATATATTGTAATGTAAAGTAAACCGAAGGTTCAAACACAAAGATATTTCTCGAACTAGACTTTAGTTTAGAGAAAGTGTACAACTATTACCTACTTACTCTGACTGACGTTTCTGCAATATCGATGGGAAACTAGGTATCAAATTGCTATCGATTAAATCCGGTGAATTAATACTAAATATTGGTATATTTTCATATTTCTTTATTATGAATTTATCTTTATTTTACAACGCTTTAATCACAGAACAGGGGACATAAGGTAAGCCATGCGTTGATTAAGTCATATTTTGCTCTCACTCCTTTCTAGACCTATGAGTGAAAACATACAACTAAACTGCTCAAAAATGAATAGGGATATTGCCAATTTTGTAGTATTTACTTTCCCACGCATTTTTATTATAAATTGCATTAAAATTTATGAGAAATTATGGTTTTAACTGAAGGAAAAACAACAAAATAAAAGGTTTTAATTCCATAATTTTGTTTATTGGACACAATAATTTTTTGTTAACAATTAATGCCGAAAATATATTTTTTTTTATAAATTATAAAAGGCGATCAACCGCTTTGGGTCATTTTCCGCCTTAAAAAACTTTCAAGCTGGGTGGTGAGTGGGCCAGAGCTCAGGAACCCCCATTAGCGGAAAGCAGGGCCCCGGCAGCATCACACGCCCCAGACACCCCTTCACAGCCACCACCAGATGGGCACCCAAACCGCACCCCAAGACACCTCCCAACATTGAGTGGATTACAGATTATTGCATACTGAACTTGAATGATTTTGTATTAAATTATTATATCATTTTATCTTCATATTTCCGAAATTAGTTTAGTTTTTTTTAAGGAAAGTTACTAGTTTGTCTATTTGGTCGAAGTCATCACCAAGCGAGTCTTTAATATTGGTTGGAATTTCCAACCGATGTCTTTCTTCTAGATATTTTTTGCAATTTGTCAAAATGTGTTTAAGTATTATTCTTTCTGTGCAAACATCACAAAGTGGAGTCTCTTTTTTTGCCATGAGATAAGAATGAGTAAGCCTACAATGACCAATTCTAAGCCTAGCAAGGACTTCTTCGTGCCTGGAACCTCTATGAGATGAGGCCCAAGGTTTTACACTGTTTTTTATCTCTCTAAGTTTGACATTAGAAGTCGTTTCCCACTCTGTTTGCCATAACTGCCAAGACTTTCTTTTATACCAGCCTGTCACATCGGATTTTGGTGTTTTTGTAATTTTAACTCCATTAAGGGCGGCCTGCTTTGCCAAATGGTCCACCTCCTCATTGCCAAATATTCCGCAGTGTCCAGGAATCCACATGAAAACTACTCTACTTCCCTGATTTTGCAGAGATTCAATGGTAAATAGGATGTCTTGTATCAATGGATGTACAGAAAATTTGTTTTTAAGGGCCAATAGCGCCGACAAAGAGTCAGTACAGATGACAATCGTAATGCCGTATATAATGTCGTCCTTAGTTAAAATTTTTGTGCACCTGTTAGTCATACAGTTTAGGTTGTCACCAATTTTATATTGTTTTTCACTCCACAGAAGTTGCAATGCTGCACTCAGTTTGCAGGTTAACTGGCTGTGGATGTTGATTGAAAAGCCTTCTCTCCAACGCATCTCACATGTACTCATTGGGATTGAGGTATAGTGACAATGAGAGGGAAAGTGCACATGATTTTTTTTCTTCTAAACGATGATGAACAACTCTGTCTCTATGAGGTCTGGCATTGTTATCCAGAAATTTAAAATCCCTGGTTTGAGGGATGTACTCCTTGACATTGATAATTTCTTGGACATAATGGAGTGCGGTGAGGTTGGCTTCATCAATATGGAGTCCAGTATACATTACACCACCTCCTCCAAATTGCACTGAAGGGAGCACAAACTGAGGCATTGTATGAATCCCCTGTTCTCGGTTGGCTCTTCAGCGCCTGCTATCTCTATACAGACAGAAACACGACTCATCAGTAAACATAACAGCATTCAATTGGTGTTCTCTTCTAGGCACTCACTGTACCATATTCTTCTGATATGTCTGATATGGTCACAGGCTGTTGCGGCAGGTTGTCTCAAAGGAGCATACGAGGCCAACTTCCTACTGTGTTAATAAAGGCCTTGCCAAAACACCTTGTACTTCATTTAGGATCTGGTGGGCACTATGGAAAGGGTTCGGTCTTGCAGCAATGGCAATATTTCTCTCTTTCCTAAGCATCATAATGTTCTGAGACCCACTACCAGGTCTCCTATTGGCACTTCCAGTCTCTCAGAATTAGGCTAAAGCCCGGGTGACCACACTCTGAGAAAGGCCAACAGCCTCTGCGATATCCACTTGCTGGTGACCACGGTTGGTTTTTAAAATACACAAATTTTTCATCACATGTGACAATTCGTTTGATAAGACAAAAGTCATTTGTGTTTATGCAATTTCTATCCTTTGATCTGCCTACTAAACTGCACACATTTGGCAAACAATTTCTGCTTGCTAAATAACTCTTTTTTTTATTTTTTAAACCATCAACAACCCTAACCAACAACAACCAACCACCATTAACCCTAACCATCCCTAACCAACACACACTCAATACGCACTCACCCAAATAAATACATTCACACCTATATACATTGCATTCATTCTATGGAGTACTCGAAATTCGTTCATCAACCTGCCTACAATAACAAAGTAATCTAACTGGGGTCAATGGGGTACTTTTATAAATATTACGCCATTGACCCAAGTCATGTATATAGCTTGACCAGCAATGGGGATTTGCTATTCCACCGTCAGATCTCCCCATTCACTTTTAAAAATACACTCACTCATACAAAACACATATTTTGACGTCTATATACAATATATTATCTGTATTATCTTATATTATAAGACAGTTTTTGTTCTCATTAAGTACTAATTTGTCCTGGAAGAAACAATAACTCCTGCACGAGTACTTGGTTTTCAAATTTATATGCATAAATGTGCAAAACAAGTTAAAACATTTTTTTTAACAAATACTAGGGTGATTTAAACATTTTTTAATTAAAAAAAATATATATATATATATTTTGGGTTAACAATAACTTATTCCTCTAAATATAAATCAGTTTCTATGACTTCAAGCTATCTACGTTCTATGCCATTCAGTACCATGAAGAGTGTCTTTTGGTGTAAAAAGAACCACAGACTAGAATAAGTGGTAATTAAAATGTACATTATCTGGGCTGTACTCTTGTTAGTAAAAAAGAACAAATTCCAATTCCCCGATTTTTGACTTGGTAGTCTTGAAGTTAGGTTATCTTGGCGCAATAGAACTTATTTCTTTTTCATCAGGGCTGTTGGACTAGAGCTGAGGTACTCGTTTAAGTTGGGTTTAAAATCAATAAAAAATTAAAGTTTTTCAATTTTAACATTAATTAATTTTTCAAATGCTTATGAATCAATAAACCATATTAACTTAATAACCAAGCTTCACCCCCCCCCCCCAAAAAAAAAAATAAAATAAAATAAATAAATAAAAGAAAAATCAGGTCTACTGCTTGTAAATTTTTTATTTCATATCTGATTAGTCTCTCACAATTTATCAATTTCAATTCCAAAAGATCTGACATTATCTATTCATTCTGGAGTTCCACTGCGGTCCATCTTGGGTCCTATTTTAGTTTCCATAATATCTCTTGATCGATTATGCTTCTTGTTGACCAGATGATCTGCCTCTCTCCATTAATAATTCGGACTGTGGACCTATTAATATATCTGAATGGATTAAAAATAATTCCTTAAATATCAGTCAAATCAAAATGCAAGCAATTGTTATCTATTATGAAAAAACCATTACCACTGATTCATCTAAGATTAATGCCCAAAATATGGCAATACATTTTTTCAATTCTGTAAAGAATCTTGTAATGATTATCATTTACAATCTGTGGCTTAAAACATAGTTTTTTTCCCTACATTTATGGATTTACTTGGTAAATCTCTGATTATTACATGTTTTAATTATGCCTTTATTTCGTTTTTATCTTTGTTCTGTATCCTTTTAATGTCTGACAGAATCCTTTAATAATTGCAAGGTATGTTTTCAACTCAAACCTTTAGCTGTTTCTAATTTATCTTTTTTGGTACTTGGTCAAAATGTCAGTGTGGTGACCAGGAAAAAACATTACCCAAAAAATTCATTTTAGTAATTATAGATGCAATGCATATTGTATAATTTTTATACAGTGTTTGAATATAGAATAATCTAAAATTAATTTGGCTGCTAAGTGTACCTTACTTTCATGAAAATAAGGGCAGTAAGAAAAATAAAAATTTCTGGATAATAGAATCTTCATGTCTAACTTACCATTCATGATATTTAATATCATCAAATATATGTTGTTTTTTTTTCAAGTTTTGTTGAAAACTTTGAAATTAAGTCATATTATAACTTATAATAAAATAACTTTTATTATGAAAATAATATATACCTATCATAAGCATGATCAAATTAATTAAAAATATAATTAACTGTAATATATAATATTTTGTTTCAGTCAGTGATTAAAAATAAAATATTAATCAAGTTCCTGGCACCTTTGACCAATTTTTCAGTCTTGCTTAAAATCATACAATAAAATATAATGTTGTCATTAGAGCTTCCGATGATAAATTAATTTAAGATTTTTCTTTCGGGGTGAATCTTCTGAGAAGGTATCTTTTATTTATTTGATTAAATTTAATGCTATAGAAGTTTTTTCTTCCTAGATGCAGCTTAGCAAAACTTACACTTTTTCTCCAAACTTACAGGACATGATAATTTAAAACATGCTTCTTAATAATATGTATAATCAACATTATTAAGCAAATATTTAAAATTAAAATTATTCTTATTCATTCCAATTCCCACCAAGCCCACTAGAATTCTCAAGGCTTGGCACTGGTACTCAAGTGCACCGTCAGATCTCACTTGATGTTTTATTCTAAAGCAAACTTGTTTTTGAGGCGTATTACAATTTTGACAACTTACTAAGAATAATATTTCGCGAGGAATCTTGATATTAGTGAAATTTAAGAAGGGAAGGAAAGAAAATCATAGATGTTCTGGAACGATGCATTGTTAATGTTTCATTTAATTTGGTTAAATATTATTTTGGACAAAAACGCAAGAATAGTTTGCCCAATTGAAGTTTTCTATACAGAGCGTCCTTTTTAGCTGGCTCGGCTGAATTTCTCTTGAAAAAAATACGTATTTAATATTTTTTAGTCTAGTTTCAAACCTTTTTTACCTTTTTTTGGAGAAAATCATTCAGGGTACTTCAGGCCCAGTTCAACTTCAAAATTTCATATACGACCCTATACAACTTGATACGTCATTTTGAAGAATTTTTTACGCGGAAAACAATGGTGCAATCGGATTTTAAGTTGGTCAAAAAATGACAAGTTAGGTAAAAAGTTTGAAAAAAAAACAGACAAAAAAAAAACCAGTCTTTTGGTTTGCTATTTCATGTTCGAACTGCCTGCCTTGCATAAAGATGCTCTTTTTAACCATTCTTCACCGGTGCTCAGAGCGATAGAGTCAGGGGAGATAGATCGACAAGCATATTCTATCTCCCTTTAAAATAATATGTCAGGATATGTAGGGTCGTATTTGAAATTTTGAAGTTAAACTGAGCCTGAGGTAACCTGTATTTTTTTAAAACAAAAGGGTAAACGTTTTAAACGAGTTAAAAAAATATTAAAACAATTTTCTTTTTATATAGCGTCATTGGTTCAAGTGAAATTCAGCCGGGCCATCTAAAAAGGACACCCTGTAGAACAAATGCTTATGAAATAATTAATTTATATAATCATGCATAGTTTTTTGTATCTTGGTCAATTAAAAATCCTAAATTCAGCAATAAAATAACAAATTAATAAAATAAGAAACTCATAAAAAGACAATGAGGCTTTTCTTAATTCAAAACCTGTTTTCAAGATGAGCACAATATTATTTAGCACTGGACTAGAGGACTGAAAATTGGAACTGATTTACATGACAACGCTCATTGAAATTCGGCCACCACCCTTCTTTATCCAGATCATTCTCTTACTTTGAAAGTTGAAAATTCTTTATCAGCTCCTTTAACGAAGTTATACATTGCCCGGTCTGTACAGACGAAACCCTTTAATCTAATATGCCGTCTACCTTCAGAGCTCATCTCTAACTCATGCAACTCGATATTTATGTTTTCACTTCCTGCTTCCATCTTCTTGTATAAATTATTCGCTATTGATTTAACATTGGACGGAGTGAATAACTAGAACTTATTTCAAACGCAAACAAAAAGTGCGGTTTTCTTTTAGAAAACGATAGAATATGTTTGTTACTATCAATTAACAATATTTACATAGTGCTTACAAAGCTTGAACTATAACCTCCCGATTAATATCTCTCTTATTGGACAAATAAAGGAAGAAATTATAAAATTGATCGTTGTAGGATTTTGGCTTTATAACATAAAATATTATGTATACATACAGGTCTGCGGGGTGATCCATATGAAATTTGTTCGTATCTTCCTATTTAGGTCTGTCAGTCGCGAATGGCTTTTAATTTATGTTGGGTCATCGTGAAGATGGCGAGAAGCTGAAACAAATCTGATATACTAAAATAAAAGGGAGACCGAAATGATAGGAAACGATCAAATTACTAGTTCATCACTCCGCAGACCACACGAAAAAATCTCACAATATTTATAATTGCCTAGGTTTTTAAATTTTGTTCTTAAAATGTTGAATCCAGCATAATTGATCAGTTCATGAGGTTAGAAGATGCCCTTCAAAATGTTAAGGTTAAAAAGCAGTCGTCCTCTTTACGACCTTTATAATATCTTCGAATATTGGTCTATGGTGCAATCTCCTTACAATCTTTTTAGTTTAAAGCTTTTTATCAGAGCACACTGAGCCCAAAGATTTGTTAAGGTCTGTCGTGTGCATCCTTCAGGCCTTGGCGTTTTTTCTCCTAGGAGTAGAATCGCTTGCATAGGGTTTCGCACCAACAGAACCGCTGTTTCTTCTTCTTCCAGGCAATATCGTAGGCTTGTTCCTGCTGCTCCAAGTCTAAACATACGCTTCTAAAGCCTGCAGCATCGTCAGCCACCCTACTATCACTCTAGTCCTAACACATCCTAGGTTGTAGTAGTAGTATCTAGGTTAGTAGTTCTTTCTTGAGAACTTTAACCTTTACCTATGAGTAAAGGTTTCAAGTAAGTTTCATGGAGTGTATTTATTTATTGGCCAATTCCATCCAACGTAACGATCCATGTCATAAAATGTAAGTAACTTAGTGAATTAATAGGATATGCCTTTTTTATTGGAATTTCTATTAATGGGATGTCCACATTCCAAAGAAAGAAATACTTTTACAAATAGAATTGCTTACACAAATCAACAACAGTTCACATGCATTCAAAACTCTATTCCAAGATAGATTTTACTTCACTAAAATCATACAGACACACTGAAGATGGCGAATGCCGAAAGGCGTCCGACAAACTAAAGTAGATATGATAGGAGGGCGAAAATGATCAGAAACTAGAACTTCCAATATGTCTGAAGTGGATGTCCACTTCTTAGGCTCAAATGACCATGCCGATTACATCATCGCTAAGTTGGCACACAGGGAAAACTAGTCTTCATCCTCATAGTCAAAATTGGTTGATATGCGAAGACCATCCTTGCATAATGAGACGACTTTTTCTGGAAAATCTGCAGCGATGTTAGACACCCAGGTCGATCTCCAGGAAGGGCAAACAAGAAGGAGCATAGTGGACGTCTTGTAGATGACTAATTTCTCATTTTCTAATTGAAATTCTTTCTAACTTTTATTTGAAATAGGCGTGTTTGGTTTAAACAGATATGTTATCGAGATCCTTTTGCTGTAAAGCAAGTCTATTGATGTAATATTCAAAGTTGAATTGAGAATGAATGTGCAATCTTATGAACGTTCTTATAACTGATTATTTAGAGATTGTGAGATGCGGACTGATGTGATTTAGATTTAGAAAAACATTTTCTTTATCGTGCCAACGTTTCGATCGCTTGATATCATCTTCAGGGCTCAAAGTGTTTGTTTTCTGAGTAGATGTGTCAATATTGTGTGTCGTGTTGAGAGTGCCCTTTAGTAATGACATTTCACAGAAAACAAACGCTTTGAGTCCTAAGATAATCTCAATAAAGATCGAAACGTTGGCACGATAAAGAAAATGTTTTTCTAAACCTATATCACACCAGACCGCATCTCACTATTTCCAAATAATCATTAATTAACGGTCACTAAACACCACACGTTCTTATAACTGTTAACATTACTATGAAGAAGCAAAATTTCATTTTCATTAATTAATCATTTAACCGCGATATGGTATTTACAAGTTCAAAAGTATTGCTCCATTTTGTAGTATAGCGAATGGATAGTGGTTAGGATAAAAATATGAGGAATCACTGGTAACCATGGGAGAAACTTTCTCCAAATTATTATCTATTTTGGTGTTAATTGTGTTAGTTCCAGTTTAGCATATTTACCACCGAAAATGGTTTCGCTTTGAGAGGAAATGAAAAAAATATGAACACGAAAATTAATGAACAAATTATCGTTTAAGTAAACGTCGGTTTAATTAATTATTACATTGTCGAACATGTAAGCAGTTTGGTCATTAGTGTCTATTTTTGTGTTATTTGGTTTATAAGTGGCTGACTAGTGTTTTTTCCTCTCTTCGTGCACGGCTTGACGCTGAATTATTCATTTGGTGAAGGGTAACTCTGAGATGATCGGTGATGATGAAACATATAAAACAGATCATCAAGTCCATCCGAATTTAATAACTAATAAAAATTTATTACCGCATAAAAACCAAAGAATAGTGACACCCAGCATGCTTATTATGTTTTATTATAAAAACA